ATCTAAATACATCAGTAACATGTGAACATTTATTTTTGCAGCTCCGATTGTGTTTTGTCAGTTGCAATCGGTCACATAATTATATATTCTTATAAGTCTATATATATTCACAAAACATATACCCATTTATTGTAAATGTGTCAAGGCACATTTTAAAAGGCGGTGGTCGTCGCGCTGCGCATGTGTGACATTTGTGTTGATACACACTGATTTCTTCACAATTCAATGCCCCCTTCTAATGGAATCACAAGTATGAGGTTTGGCATGGGCGTGACTTGCACTAATTACCGCCGGTGACTTCTTCAATACCTTCCAATTACCTAAAAAATACCTAATTAAAGAATGGTAACGTCTCAGTTTGTATTAGTTGATATGCGCAACAGTAAAAGTCGCCATCTTGGATTATATGAGACCCATACATCCCACGCATGTGTGGCGCGACGACCACCGCCCTTTAAATTACTGACGCGTCACGTTCTAAAGTGCTCATGAAATATATTTTCTCTGAGAGTATTTATTTGTATTACCAGTTATACAATATACCGAGTCCCCCTGCACATATGAGACAGTAATTAAACGTAATTTACCTATGCAAGACTTGTTATCCGAGGCCAAGCTGTATCCATAGTTACAGGAGCATGTGAAACTACCAACATTGTTTATACATGTCTGAGAACAACCACCATTATTAACACTGCATTCATTGTTGTCTGTGATGAAACAAAGACGTCAGTACAGCGCCACCAACACATACACAGCGAATTATATCGGCAAAGGTTGTAATAGATGAATACATATTTTTCAAAAGTACACGTTATTTTATAATTACTTATTTTTGTGGGCAAGAAACAAAACATTGAAGGTAGGTGCAATGTATTTCAACTTAATATTGAATGCGGAAATTTAGCGATGCAAGACAGGTCTCTGTGTTGTTATCAAACATACGTCGTGCAGACCACATAAAATACATGGAAACGTGTTTCTGCATATATTCAACTTACCGGCGCAAGACATTCCATTCGATAATAATCTGTACCCGTTCCTACAACCACAAGTAAAACTACCAGCAGTATTTTGACAAGTATGATCACATCCAGCATTATTAACGCTACATTCATTTATGTCTGCAGAAAATAAAAGTCACACACACATTAACATTTGGTGGTAACACGTAGAATCATAACGCATTCACATAACAACGCGGCTATTTAAGTTATTTAACAATCGATGCACAGTCACAGTGAAATCTCCCACAGGTACCGTCAATGGCCGATTCTGAGCACTATTTTATATTATTACCTATACATTCCATGTCATTTCCAGCTAACGTATATCCAGTACTGCAATCACATGCAAAACTACCAGCAATGTTATGACATATATCTTGACAACCACCATTATTATTACTGCATTCATTTACATCTGTTTACAAAAACATATATTATATGTGATAAGTATACAAGATCATTTTAATCAACGAGGAGTATTAGGGAATTATGACAATTAAAACGAGGGAGTCTTCACCTGCGCATGCGTCAGATGGCTATAGCGTGTCATTGTTTACAAACAAGCTTCTACCCATGAGCGTTTGCGTTTTTAGCGTGTGTTGTTATCGTCGCTTGGTACTCAATTCCCGCGCGTGCGCATGTGACGACCCCCCCGCCCGCTTTAAGTCACATCACAATTATTCTTATATTTATTAGTCGCATAATGCTACGCATAGTCTTAGTCTACATTTCCATAAGTACACATATTATGTTGCCCAATTACTTGTTATCTGATCTGCACCATGTGTAATTGTAATCTATTCATACACACTGTGATATTTTATATATTACTACTGTCTCAATTATGATTGATTCGTAAGCTTATAAGAAGTTTACCAGAAACTGACTAGTTCTCAATATATTACTTCCCACGTTTATATTTTCATAAATTGTCTCACCTATACAAGATGTTCCATCTATTCCTACAATATATCCTGCGTCACACTGACAAGAGAAACTGCCAGGATTGTTTACACAGACATGCGCACATCCACCGTTACTGTCTGAACACTCGTTGATATCTGAGAGAATGTTGAACACAGTGATTGCGACATACATTGCAATAACTCATTGAATAATAATGCACGCAATATTCACAACACTCATGTTATTTATTTATATATGTATTTAAATAAAAATGTAATTAGACGTTATAATATCGACGGATTGCGAGAAATATTTAACAAACAATCCCTGCTCGTAATTCGTTTGTGACCTACCTACACACGTCTTGCCAAAATCTTTTAGTACGTATCCAGACTCACATTGGCAGATGTATGTGCCAACGGTATTAACACATATGTTAGAGCATCCATGGTCCTGTGTGCATTCGTCAACATCTAAATGAAAACACAATATATTATAATATGTGCTAATAGTAATAATACATATATTAACATCATATTTACACCTAAGTAGGAAACTATAATTGTATTACGTGTAAACGGTATTACCACATATATTATAACCCGCATAAAATCCATGAAGTATGAAAAGTGTATTATATTTGCCAACACACACGTAGAATGTAATCAGATTCGAGTAGCTTATATGTTTAGAATGTCATATATGACACTTCGCACATTTAACACTTGCACTATTACGTGTTGATTACTTTTAAGTAGTTCAGTATCATGTCGACAACTAATTACGTTTCACAGGATGGGAAGTTGTGTATATTTTAAATCACCTATTTGAAATATGGACCATTTTTTTCTGAGTTGCAGATTTTTTCATATGGTCGTGTAATAAAATGATATCAAAACACTCATGGCTTTGTGTAAACTTGTCCATATATAGAGGATATAACAATGATTTCCTAAACATTGAGAAGTACCGTACTGCAAGTCACAAAATAATAAACTCAATTTACCTGAACAAGAGTGTCCATTTTCATCCAAACCGAATCCGACACTACAGGTACATATGTAGCTGCCAGGTGTGTTTGTACAACCATGCTCGCAAGCAATATCGGTATTCATACACTCGTCGATATCTTAAAGTTAAAAACAAAACAAATTACTATTCCAGCATCCGGTATACATAAAAACTGTCATAACTCAAATATTCGATTATTGTTTCTAGTTTATTATGCATTTTGCATATTCTAATTAATTCGTATATTACCAATTATCGTTTATATGAATTACCTGAGCAGGATTTTAAGTCTGAATCCAGTATATATCCAGAATAACATCCACATTGGTAACTGCCAGCCGTGTTTATGCAGGTTTGCTCACATTCCCCATTCACGTCATCGCATTCGTTATTATCTATGTGAAATTCAGTTTTGTTAATTGTAAAAGAATCCTCCAAACAGTTTCATATATATATATTGTTTGCTTCTCACTGTGAGGTCACGTAAATGTCTATTTCTGGGATGTCAGCTGATTGTGCAGCGAGGTTCTGTGGCACAGTCAGAATACTTACAAATAAGTATGTACTTTTTGTCTTCACACTCATACCAAATATGCATATAATGTCGTGAACAAAGCAAAACTTCAATTATCATAATTATTTTTTTTAAAACTCAAACCAGCATCACTATGTAAAAAAAAAATTGTTGTACATTATACGCCACAATGTTAAAAATTCTAAAACAAATGTTACAACCTCATTAAAAAATTGGGTTATGCTACCCTCATATCTATAACCAACGACATTTCCGTTAATCCCAAGGTCAAAATTCAAGTTCTATGCCAGTATGTTGTGATTTCTGCAAGACAGAAATGTGGAAATAGACGATTATCTCCACGTAATTTCTCAGAATATATGTATACGTCGTTTTGTGTTTTGTCAATACCTACCTATGCACAAGAGTCCATTAGATGCTAAACTATACCCTGCTGTACAACTACAAGTAAAGCTACCAGCAGTGTTATGACACAAGTGTTCACATCCACCATTACTATTGCTGCATTCGTTGATATCTATTGAGAAACCAAACAGTAATAACTATTTGTTGACGTGAATGATATTTCAGAACAAGGAAATTTGATATATCTAAAGTAACAAAGCATGGTACATGAAGAACTATGACGAAGCCAGGTCTTTCAGATTACTATCTCCATTTTCGTGTTTCATATGTAGAATTTAATTACGTCGAATAGAATTACCAAATATCAAATCGATGCATACCTGAACACGAGAGTCCATTGGACGCTAATCTGTACACCGCTCTACAACTACAAGTAAAGCTACCAGCACTATTTTGACATACGTGTTCACATCCACCATTATTATTGGTGCATTCGTTGATATCTATTGAGACATCGTGTAGTGGTTTTAGTGGGTTGCAAATAATTGATATATTCACAGTACACATAAAATATCTCAAATGCGATAATGAATGATATTAATATAACACTCGAACTCATATAATTATAAATATATCCAGGCCAAGTGTTCAGATCTAGTCATTCTTTGGGTATGAAATG